TCTTCACCGGACACAACCCCCGGTGTGAGAGTTATTTGCAGGTTTTCGGCGTTCTATCGGCGAGGACCAAGATCTATCCGTCCAAACCGGACCAGGACGCTTACACTTGGCCTTATAAACTGACTTGGAGGCTCTAAATAAGGCATATAAACAACATGTTATCGTATTAACATGGCTCAGCAATTAAATATCCTAAAGGATAACTCAAGGCAAAGTCCCCTTCATTTCTTCATTCTTTTCTTAAATTTTATTCCTCACATAACATGGCCTTGAAATTGAAAATAATACTCTGCTAACTCATGCACATACTCAACCATACTTGCATATTAGGCTCAGCAATAAGGCTCTCAAATCAACCACACAAAACATATGAAAATAGCCTTTTTTTTATCCTTCTTTTTCTCTCTTTTCTTAGTCTAGACTTCTCAAACTTTAAACAATAATTAATGGGTAATTAAACTGAAACAAAAACTCTTAAAGATCACACAATACAGAGAAATATACTAACATGACATAACAAAAGAGATAAACTCTCGGCACAAAATAACACAATAGGCAACTCAAAACTCTACACTTTTTAACAAACTTAAGCATGTCAACTCTTATTTATTTATTTTTTTCTTTTATAAAATTATTTCTAAGCTCATCTTTCAGCCATAATGAGGTGTAAGGTTCAGCCCATTACCTTAAAAAGAACATGGGATTACGAAATTTGAAATAGAGGTCTGACTAAGAGATGCTCTGGCCAAAAGAAAATGGAACTCGGCTTGGTTGGAGTGGTTTGGTCTTTGCTGGAATTTCTCGGCCTCGGTGCTGCAGAAGGGCTCAGAATTCGTAGGGTCTCCTCTGCTTTCTCTCTTTCAAAACTGATGTTGCAAGTGCGGTTAAAGGTTGCAGGGTCTCGACGGAAAGGAAGGTTGCTCGGGATTAATTTTCTCTATACTTTTCTGTGTGTTTTCAGAAGAAATAAGCTGGGGCTGATGGAGGTTAAGTGCAATTTATAGGTGATTAGCAGGACATATGAACATTGGGGAAATTGGGTGGAGGTTCCGAGCTTTAGGGGAGTGGTTAGGAGACTAGTTCAAAAATTCTCCTTGTCTTGAGCAGCTGACCGAAAAAAATGTTGAGGGAAAAGGTTGGTCCAAAAATTTTGGGCACATGGGAGTTAAAATGGAGACCTTATCTCATAAAGCTAAAATTCAAAATATTTGAAAACAATTAACTTTAAATGCCCGGACTTAAAATGGTTGAAAGCTACATGGCCTGATTTTTCAATATACAAGGCTCAACTTAAAGTCTTAAAGGTTAGAACAATTAGGCTCTTAATGGATTTGGGCTTAAAATCAAATTAGGCTAAACATGACTTTGACTTAAGAAAAAATGACATGGCCGAACTATGGAAGAATAATTAAGCACTTAGACAGTTAAAAAAAATTAAACAATTAATCAATTTATAACAATTTAAGCAAATAATAAAAAAAAAAAAGCAGACGAGAACATCCACTTAATTTGATTTTTGGATTATTTAATTTAATTAATATGTCGAGCTAAAAAGAATGCAATGCAAACGAATTCATGCTCTTACTCATAAAACGGGGCGTTACAAACCTAACCTCCTTAAAATATTTCTGTCCTCGGAAATTACATAGAACTAAACGAACTCAAAATACAAAGTTCGGATATTTAATCTGTATCTCTCTCTCACTCTCCCAAGTCGCCTCGTCCTCGCCGTGGCGGCTCCACTGAACCTTAACGAGCATTATTTCCCGGTTCCTCAACTTGTGGACCTTTCGATCTAAAATAGCTACCGGTACTTCCTCGTATGTCAAGTCCTGCCCGACCTGAAACTCATCAAAGTTCACTATGTACCCGAGATCATATACATATCGTCTCAACATCGAGACGTGAAAAACATCATGAACTCCCGAAAGCTCTGGGGTAGAGCCAACCGATAGGCAAGGTCGCCGACTCGTTCGAGTATCTCGAAGGGTCCGATGAAACGAGGCCGTAACTTCCCTTTCTTCTCAAACCGGATCACACCCCTCATCGGTGAGACCTTTAGAAAAACCTTATAACCGACCTCGAACTCCAAATCCTTCCTACGCTTGTCTTTATATTTCTTCTGTTTGTCCTGCGCTGCCTTGATCCTCGCTCGGATCTCTTGAACTTGCTCGAATGCCTTCTTGATAAGCTCGGGACCGAGAATCATCCTCTCGCCCACCTCATCCCACTGCAACAGTGTCCTAACACTTCGCCCGTACAAAGCCTCGTATGGTGTCATCTTGATGGACGCCTGATAACTGTTGTTATAGGCGAGCTCCACCAATGGCATCGAATCTTCCCACGAGGTACCTCGATCTAGAACACATGCTCTCAACATGTCCTCGAGTGTCTGAATCGTTCTCTCGGACTGCCCGTCTGTCTCGGGATGGTAAGCGGTGCTGAAATGAAGTCTCGTGCCCATAGCTCTGTACAGACAAGTCCAAAACCGTGCAGTAAACTGTGTGTCTCGGTCTGATACGATCGACACAGGTACTCCATGGAGTCGGACTATCTCTCGGATATATGTCTTGGCATACTCCTCCAATTTCATAGTCGTCTTCACTGGAAAAAAGTGTGTGGTCTTAGTCAAACAATCCACGATAACCCAGATAGAATCGTTCCCACTCCTTGTCCTCGGAAGATCTACTACAAAGTCCATTGTGACGTTCTCCCACTTTCACTCGGGAATCCCGAGTGGATGCGTCAAACCCGACGGTCTCTGATGTTCGGCCTTAACTCTCTGACACACCAAGCAGTGATCGACGAATCTCGCTACATATCTCTTGAGACCTCTCCACCAGAAAGACCTTTTCAGGTCTTGATACATCTTCGTACTCCCTGGATGAATAAAGTACGGGGTGTTATGGGCCTCCTCTAAGATCTCTCTACCGATAGCTGGCACTCTCGGTACAAAAAGTCGCTGCTCGAAGACTAAGGCTCCATCGGGTGCTACCGCAAAACCTCCGATCCGGCTAGCCAGAGCTAGCTCTCTCATCTGGCACAAATATTTATCCTTCGGTTGTTCTACCACGATCCTCTCTTGAAGGGCCGGTGTCACAACCAAGGATGCTAGAACTCCACTAACCCTCGGGAACTGCTTCACTGAGTCTAACTCCAGTCTACTGAACTCTCTGATCAACTCCTCTTGCTTGGTAAGCATACAAGCCAGTCCACCACGACCCTTCCGACTTAATGCGTCGGCCACCACATTAGCCTTGCCTGGGTGATAGCTAATGGTGCAGTCGTAGTCCTTTACTAACTCAAGCCATCGCCTCTGCCTCATGTTGAGCTCTTTCTGCGTGAAAATGTACTTCAGGCTCTTATTATCGGTGAAAATCTCGTACTTCCCTCCGTAGAGATAGTGTCGCCAGATCTTCAATGCATGAACTACAGCTGCAAGCTCCAAGTCATGTGTCGGGTAGTTCTGCTCGTGAGGCTTTAGCTGCCTCGAAGCATAAGCTATTACTTGCCCCTACTGCATCAACACACAACCCAATCCTTGTTTGGAAGCATTGCTATAGATGGTGAAGTCCAATGTAGGGTCGGGAATGGTCAACACAGGTGCGGTGGTCAACTTAGCCCTCAACTCTTGAAAACTCTGTTCGCACCGGGAAGTCTACACGAACTTGGTCTTCTTCTTTGTCAACTGGGTCAACGGTTGGGCTATTCTTGAGAAGCCCTCGATAAACCTCCGATAGTAACCAGCGAGACCCAAGAAACTTCGAATCTCACCGGCATTCT